AAGTTAAAGGCGTAGATCTCAAAAAGTTTGTTCAAAAACTGCACCTCGACCAAATGGACTATGGAGAATTAACGGACAAAGATGTAGAGAAATTTTACGGTACATAAAAAATATGACCCAGTTTGATTGAATTTTAATTCATATATCCTTTGTTATCACCTCACAGAATTCGTTGGTCCTGATTTTGCTTGGCCTCCTACAATGAAGAACTGCGAGCGCCGTCTCATCTTTGATTGTGTTACCGATCCTGAGGAAAGACAAGGAGAAGAATATGCAAAAAATGTTATTGCATATCGGCGCTTCACCGAGGCTGGACAATTTGATCCGTCTAAAGGTACTCATGTCTTGATCATTGACGGAAAGATAGTCCGTTATGGACCAAAATTATGGGGCAAGGAACACGAAGAAATGGTGTCGAAGAATCCAGAATTGTTGTACGCGCCTCTTATAGAAGAGGTAGTCGGAAGAAGGAGTGGCAGGTTTGTGTTTGCAGTTACTTAATCACTTTTGCATATTATTTTTTTTTGACAACTTTTGCGTATTACATTGTTGATAACCTTTACGTATTACTAAATCGACATAGGTCTGTATAAAGTACCAAAATCGCATGACACAAAAACGGTTGTTGATTAACTTACCTTCTCCCATATTAGAAATTTTTTGTGAATGGGACTTTTCACCTTGATCAAAATTGTACAACACAAAAATGGTTACCGACTACCTCATATATTACCCATATATCGTTACCCAAATTTCACTTTGATCGTGAAGAATCGTCACGATTCAGAAGTTTTAGACTTTATCCAGGGATTGAGTCTAGTCTCTTCCATATGTGCTTTATATAATCTAGATTGAATTTTATTTGTCTGAGGACTTGGTAAATCAACTAAATTAGCATGCCATTTGCAATAGTCCTCAAGGCAGTCACAGAGTGGCTAGACGAATAATCTTGCCATGAAATAGTATCAGAAGACACATTATCGTTTTGTATTAATGCAAGTCAATTCAAAATCACATAGCTGTCAAAAAAAAAAAATATTACTATCCCACTCGCCCAGGTTTGTGTAATCATTTACTTTTGATATATATACTGGGAGAAATAGAAAGTACGCTTCGTGTATTAGTAGAGGTAACACGTGACCTCAATTTCATGCTCCCCACGTTTTCAAAATGCTGTGACAACCCTGTCCAACGGGACTAAAAAAAACGAAGATACTATGTTTTAGAAGATTATTCGTGATTATAGAGGTGCAGTCAAACTTAACTCTTCTAGCTAAGAAAGCACAACCGTTATCTGGCTTGCGGAAACCTGACTGCCAAGTTACAGCTTCCTACGTAAAGGGAAAGCAAGGCGATTACAAAGCGATTACAGAACGATTACAGGCGATTACAGGCGATTACAGGCAATTATTATGTGATTACAGACGATTACAGGATTGTTGGCGATTACAAGATGATCACAAGTATTGTTATCCCATAAATGCTGTCATATAGGTATGGGTCCTCCATTTAGTGAAGAGTTGAAATGGAGAATGGTCTGGATTGTTATAACAAACGACGTATTAGTGAACTTCTAGTGAGTTATTCGGGAGTACGCAGAGTATTGAGGAACTTTAGGAAATGGAACTGTGTGGACAACCCATTTAGAGGTGTTTTCAGAAGTATTGATATAAAGGTTTGTTTTTGCTGTCGGAATTCTTTGTGTAGAGATCTTACACACATACTTTATACAGATTCTGACAGAACTGGTTAACGAAGGCAGATTAGTTTTTTGGGCGAATTGGTTGCAGAAATGGAGGCGAGAACAGGCAAAAGAGTATCCATTCCGACTCTGCGGTGTTCGTGGGATTACGCGAAAAGAATGAGTTGTTATGTAGCGCATTTATTGTTGAAATCGGCACTGGTTACATGCCCTCACAATTCATTTTCATTGATGAAAGTGCCAAAGATGAACGCACTCTTTCATGCAGATACGGATATTCATATGTGAATACAAGAGCTCGATTGAGAGTGGCATTTGATCCTCCATGTAACTAAAAAGGCAAAGCAGGACATGCCAGGTCTATCACAGAATAAAAAGTCTCAGCAATCAACCATAACCATACAATGTTGTGAGCCCAAAGTTCGAGATGTGAGGGAGATGTTTGTGACTTTGAATAAGACAGGGTCGTTCGTGTTATATTTTTCCGTAACTCAATTATTGTTTCAGCAATATGTATTTCATCTTCATTCAGATCCTTATACAAGAAGTATTTGCCTATAGCATGCATGCTGAGAATTACTTTGAAAATCATCACGTGTTTATTCGAAAATGTTACGTGAAAATTATAATCACTGTAATCACAATAATCTCGTTTCACCCACTAAAATTTTAGGTGTTCCAGCATTTTGAA